AAGTCACATCATCTTATTTAAGTCACATCACCTCTCTAACACATCACTTCAAACCCAACTCAAATCCAACCCATATTTCATAAAAAGTCAAAAAGTACACTTATTTAGGCCAAGTTTGGGAACACCCCAAAAAGCCAAAAAGTCAAAAAGTTACTCAAAAAGTTAAAAAGTTATCACTATTCACCAAAAGTCAATAATTACGGCTGCACAACTCCCAATTCTAATTTTCTCCTACAAATCAATTTTTACAATTTTTTATTACACATTTTTCCATAAAAAGTCAAAAAGTTAACCCAAACATTCATATTTTCAACCTCAACTTTTTAGTCTAAAAAGACAAAAAGTACACTTATTTAGTCTTCCCAAACTTGGCCTTAATCTTCCCAAACTTAGCCTAAGTCTTTCAAGTCTCATAAATTGTAATATCCAAACTTGATAAAGTAGGCACCAAACGAAACCGTGGGTTTGTTTGTAGGATCCCAAGTTTGTTAAACGCATCTCTATGCGTGCACCCTACATTGTGACATACCACTTATATGCCGCATATCGCAAAATTATGACATGAACAAAACAAACCTTCAAACCCAAAAAATATAACATGCTGAATAAAATACAGATAAAATATAAAATGGTTAAAGGAAGCAAACCGAAGCCTGTGTGATACCACAGTCTCCTTAAAATAGATTCGTCGCCTCACCGTTGGGTGCTGGAGGTACGCCGGCGTCTACTTCCCAGGATACGACGGTTTTTACCAGCTACAACAGAAGCACCTTCTGATTAGCTTAGCGAACGGACAACGGCAACACTCTCTCTCAAGAAGAAAATTATAGGAGAAGTAGACTGACAGTGTATGGATGTCAAGGAAAAATTCTACATCTCTTTTCAAGGAATAGGGCCTCTTTTTATACACCATGGGAGAGAGGGGAGGAGCCTTTAGCCATCAAGGCTGGCAACTAATACTAACAAAACTGCCCAATCAATTTTGTAAAACTGAAAAACCTTAAATATGTGAGTTATATACACATTTATGAAACAATTTCTTATTTAACCATTTTTCTCCAACAAAAATCAATGCCAAACGGGACTAAGTCTTTCAAGTCTCATAAATTGTAATATCCAAACTTGATAAAGTAGGCACCAAACGAAACCGTGGGTTTGTTTGTAGGATCCCAAGTTTGTTAAACGCATCTCTATGCGTGCACCCTACATTGTGACATACCACTTATATGCCTCTTTCTTTTTTTTTTTTTTTTTTTTTTGATATTCTTTAAAAAAAAAAAAATTATTGACACATTTTTTAAACTATTTAAAAAATTAACTTATTTTTTGAAATGACATTTTGAAAATATAATTTTTAATTGAAAATGCAATTTTATTATGATATGAATTTCACTAAGATATATTGCATTTTCAACATATAATTTCAAGTTAAAATTGCATGTTGAAATTGTAATTTTTAATTTAAAATTGTATTTTCAAAATGTGATTTCAAAAAGCAGGTTAGTTTCTTAAATAATTTAAAAAGTCGGTCAATTTTCTAAATTATTTTTTTTTAGAATGTTTTTTTTTAAAACTCCATATAAATTTGCCCCTCTCTCTCTCCATATTTGCCCCTCTCTCTCTCTCTCTCTATATATATATATATATTGTTATTTTATTTTATTTTTTTGGGGTAAGTAATAAGAATCCTACAAGTTACGACTTTAATAAATAAAGTTGCTTCCTTGTTTTCCCTCGTATTTCATGTATTATTAGTTCATCGATTCAATGACTCATTGGAGAATATAGAATCTTAGGGATTAATGAAATGAATTATATATATTTTTTAATTTTCGAAATCTACTCTTTACCAGCTTTGATTCCTCACAACTGAGGAGTATCCAGAATTTATTTCCAAAAAAAAAAAGTGGTACTTGTCTTTTGTAAAATAATCTTGATGTCATAATAAATACGTAATTTTGAGTAGATTCTATAAATATAATAATAATAAGGAAAATACGTAACCTTCTTCTTTTTTTGACACATTATGGCAATGTTATTTTTGTTAATTGTTTGCCATTATTATTATTATTATTATTATAGGAACACTTAAATTGAATCTAATATGTATAGTAATGCTGGTTAATTTGCTAGTCTAAAAATAATACATATAACGACACACGTCATTGGCCAAAGAATATGTATTATTATTATAAAAATTAAAAATATTTTGAATTATTTCATACATTATTATTTATTTTCTACTATCTAACATATGGTGTTGGATACAAATTCTTCGTATAAATTACATATATAATAGGGGAAAGGACTTATATTAAATTGGTAAGACACATATCATCAAAATAACAAGACAAAACATTTACAAAATAAACTCAAACAAGTCACACAAATATATTAAACACTCAACCAACCTTATAAATGGAAAAAAAATGCTAAATAAATACATAAGAAAACACATAATACATAAATGAAAAGAGTTGAATATCTAACTACATAAAGAAGAGTGATTATCTGATGTTACCATGTGATCATGTACTCACTCAAGGAAGTATGTAATTTAAACATGTCATCATTAATAACTAAATGAGCACAACACTGAAATTCCAAGTCACATGATAATTTCTACCTAGTGAGGTTCATTTCTTCAGGTTCTATCTATATCTCTTCAAATGTTTAAATTCCAAACCTCACCAACCCAATAGGGAATAGGCCATCAGAGAGGTGTCCCCACCACCTAACTAAACTCTTACACTACATATACATAGCTTTTACCTACCAAAAATAAATAGAAAGATTTGCAAAACTATACATGCCCAATTTGGTCCAACCTGCTTGCAAAGAGTTTGACACCATTTTTGCCATCTGTAGCAAAGGCATTTAGCCTACCACTCTGTCCCTCTGTCACAAGCATCCTCCCTCCCTCCCTCCCTCCCAACTGTATTTCACAATTTCATCTGTACTTTTGTACGCTCTGTTTTACGAGTAATTATTCTATCTTTTGCCAAATTTTAGTAATGTTATACAAATTATGGATAAATTACACTTTACTTCCTCAACTATTATCCTGCATTACTTTATTTCTTTAAATTAAAAATTGTAATACTTAATCTATTTCATTTATTAATTGCTTTCAATCTGAATCTTTATGATGGAAATATCATTTTAAGTTAAGGGATGTAAATTGATATTGAGTAATATCAATTTACATCATTACTTTATTTCTTTAAATTAAAAATTGTAATACTTAATCTATTTCATTTATTAATTGCTTTCAATCTGAATCTTTATGATGAAAATATCATTTTAAGTTAAGGGATGTAAATTGATATTGAGTAACAGTTGAAGGAGGTAAAATATAATTTATCCTCATAGTTGAAAGGGTATTTTCATCCTTAAGTGACACGATTTTTAGTTTATAATTAAGGGAGGTAAAGTGAAATTGCTCTACAAATTAATTAAATTAAATTTACCATGTATTATATCATTGAATTGAGTTGTGTTTCAGTCTTATTACTTAACCTGAGTTGGTAAAAACAAAAAACAAAAAATATATATATATATATAATTTGTTAGTTTATAATAAAAAAAATTTCCTTCCTGAAATAGCATATTAATTGTTTGTTTGTTTAATAACAAAGGACTCTGAATTTCTACAGTTTGAAAAACAAAATAATAATAGACAAATCACAATACATAATAGAGCACACAATCAAACGATACTCTGAATCTTTATTGTTAGAGACTTATTATACATTATTTCTCTGTACGATTTAAATTTTATTAATATACTTTAGAATTAATTTTGAGTTAGGTGCCCCCATTAATTTAACATCATATCATAAACTATTTCTCTCATCTTTATGTCATCCTCACTTGCAACTTGAATTGCATGGGATAGCAGAAACTTATCTCTTGATTCATATATTTATAAAGTTTCCCTGCATAGTGGATATTAATTTTTTTATTTTTTATTTTTTTAATAAATTTTTTTGTTCTTCTGTTTTTTTTTTTGTTTATAGTTGGTACTAGTACTCCACATTAAAAACTTGGTGAGCTCCAGCTGTACTCAGGATGACCAAAGGTGACTTCACCCTTACGACGAGCTCCCCTCAACTTTGCTGGGAAAGAAGTTGTGTCCTGTCTTAATGACCGAAATGCCCATTCCATTCCATGCTCCACAAAAACCCACTTCTTCACACCAAGACCAAGCTACCCCTTCCACCATCTTAAAATTACTTCCCATACTCTTCTTCAATTAATTAATAGGACCATAGCAAAAAGCATAATTAGACGTCAAGATATTAAAAATGGTAAGAATATAGAATTCGATCACATAACATAACGGAGCACAATTTTCTCAAATAAGGTGAATCTCACATTTTTATAAATTACACAATATATGTAAAATTTGTGATTGATTCCTGTATAAATAAAATAGTTGTCTATATACTATTAAAAAAGTAATAGTATACAAATTCAAAAATTATAAATAAAAATATATAAAATGATGTATTAAATTAGCATCCATTCATTTCAAACAAAAATAAAATAAAAATAAAAACTCAAACTCGTAAAAGCAATTCGTTATTTTAAAGTACCATTGACACATCATTGTAAAACAAATTATTTTATACAGAAATTCTATTGGCAAATAGGGTGGCACTAGAGAGAGGGAGGAAACGTTCAAGAAATGATGTTTTTTTTAACAGTCTACGGTTATTCCCATACGGATAGATGGAAGACTAACAACTAAACTTTTAGTTTTAGATGTGTTAGTTTGCGTCTCCACTTGTGAAAGATTTTTAACCTCTTCTCCATAGGGAACAAATCATATACCCCTAAAAGTGTTTGATAAAATGTGTCAAAGGAAGATGGAGCGAGAGATTGAGTCTTGTTTACGCAAATGGTTCGTCCTTATTCTAAAGCCCCCCTCTTCGTCCACCTCCTTCCCCCAACTCCCCCCTAGGCAAGCCCCCAATTACTATAAAGAAACCTCACTTTCCCTCTCTCATTACCCACCCCATCTCAGCTTTTCCTTCTCTCTCTTCTCCCACTCTCTTACTCCCTCTTGTTCTTGTTCTCCTCCCTCCTATAAATTCTCTACTTTGATGAATTCTATGAGCTCTGCTTAAGAAGTACAAGAAGAATCAAAGCTCAATTGGGTTTGAATCAGATACAAAAATTTGTTTTTTTTTTTGTTTTCTGAGGTAGATGGAGAAGCTTAGCTTTGTTAAGAATGGTGTGCTAAGATTGCCACCTGGGTTCAGATTCCACCCCACAGATGAAGAGCTAGTTGTTCAGTACTTAAAACGCAAGGTGTTTTCTTGCCCTTTGCCAGCTTCAATCATCCCTGAGGTGGATGTTTGCAAATCTGACCCTTGGGACTTGCCAGGTTAGTTTTTGCTTCATTTTCTTGATTTTCTTGATCAAAAGAATAAAACCAGACTGTTTTAAATTTGCTCCAATGTCCCAAAAATTGTTTTCCCACTTTTTTTAACAAGTCTAGAAAGTTGCCTGATAACATTGAAATTGAGTTCGGATCAAAACAAATGAGTTTTCTAACTACTGACTACAATGCCAATTGAGACTTACATTTAGTGAAAATTTTTAGTAACAATTATAATGCTCCTCTAGGAAACTAAAAAATGATTGCTTGGTTTGCTAGATTCATTGAAATGTTTCTGGCAATCGCATTGAAATTGAATTTTTAAGAGAGCTTGTACTGAAACGTAGTAATATTTGTTTTTAGAAAACAGATTCTGAAAACGAAAGGGTAGTAAAAATGTTTTGTGTCTTTCAGGTGACTCGGCGCAAGAGAGATACTTTTTTAGCACAAGGGAAGCCAAGTACTCAAATGGGAACCGGTCCAACAGAGCAACTGGTTCCGGGTATTGGAAGGCGACCGGGATAGACAAGCAAATTTCAACTTCTAAGAGCAACCAAGTTGTGGGGATGAAGAAAACTCTGGTTTTTTACAGAGGAAAGCCTCCACATGGCTCAAGAACCGATTGGATCATGCACGAATATCGTCTCGTTGACTCAACCCAGGTGAGCTTTATTTCTTTCAATTATCTTCAACTTTGTTGTTTTCATACATGCTTTTATTATAAATTTAAATCATTGTTCAATTCCCGGCAGGCTTCTATGGAGAATTGGGTTCTTTGCCGCATATTTTTGAAGAAAAGGGTTACCAAAAATGAAGAGGAAATCACACAATCGCGCAATTGTGAAACCGTGCCTGTTTTCTATAATTTCATGGCCAAAGAGAGGACTGTTTTGGATCTCATCCCTGCTTGCTCATCATCGGGTTCGAGTGGGGTCACAGAGGTCTCTGATCATGAATCAGACGGTCATGAAGAAAGTAGTACTTGTCATAGTTTCTCATCCTTTCGAAGAAAACTTTAGTTGCAATATCTTTTAGCAGTGTCTGTATCAGTAAATTGAGCTTCCAAAATTCCCATCAGAATAACCCTGTTAGAGATCTGATGTTTGGTTACAGTTCCATGTCTCTATGGTAAGAGGTATTGAAAAAAGAAAAAGAAAAGAGAGATTAAAACTCGGCATAAACTGTTGTCAGTAATTTGGAGAGCAAATGATGTTAACAAATGGTACTATTCTGTACTCAAAATCTGAAAATTTTAAAGTCAGTGGTAATCTATCTTTCTCTTTAATGCATTTGAATTTGTTTTCTTAATACATTTTGGTTCATACTTAGATATATTGTTGAGCTCACCATGCAATGCTCTTGCTTTATCAAAAGGCAATTGATTTTTGAGGGAATAAGAACAAACAAGGACATGATGGGAAAAAAAGAAGAAAAGGAAGATGAAAAAGAGAAAGAAAAGAGAAGGCATAATGGCATTCTATATTGCTAATGTGCTATCCGATTGAATTGAACGGTGATATCACGTTACACTGTTCACACTTTGTTGATATGATATTATCGAGCAATGAATCAGCTGAGGATTTTTTGTTAAATAGGAGATAAAGTTGTTAACATTTCAATCATTTGATCAGTTTTATTAATCGGTGATAACAAATAAAATATTTTCTATACGTCATATCTATTTAATTTTATTCAAAGAGAAACCCTTTTCAGTAGAATAAAAATACAAACATGATCTTGTATATATATCTCCGCCGTATGAGGTTCTCTTGGCCTTTCTTTCAAACTAGGCAAAAGTCGAACTTCTCTCTGTATTTAGATTTTAAATTTTAATAGAGATTTATAGAGGAAAATAAAAAAAAATATTAAAAAATAAATTCAACTTTTGCTTTAATCATTTTTTCGGGTAATTGACACTTTTTACCCCCCTCCTTCTAATTGCAGCAATTAAGATTTTAGATTTCTTACTTTTATTTCAATATAAGCCTCTTATCACTTACAGTTAAAAGAAAATAGATAAAATACTTATCTGATGAACACATGAGCACATTTTTATCCCTTCATCAGCTTTCACTCAAATTTCATTTTAATTTTTCATATTTCAATTTTCACTCAAATTTCAAACTATGGTATGAAATAATGACTATATTGAAAGTCAATTTCAAGTCTATGAACTAAATTGTTACAATTAAAAGGTGAGTAACTAAAATGAAATTCATGTGAAAGTTGAAAGGTAAAAGTGTAATTCACATTTTTTTTCATATTCGTTTTCTTTGCAAATTCAATATTCGCAGACAGTCTAAAGAAAACCCAAGTCCTCGATATTGGATTCAAATTTCAAACTTTTCCGCTAATTGTGAGCATGCTTTAGTTCAGAAACTCTCCATATAATTCAAATTTATGTCAATTGAAAGAAGTGGACAAAGCTAGTCACCCAGACATACATTCTGAACAAAGTTTCAACAAGATTTGTTACAATTGTCACACTCATTTACCAACATACAAATACAAAAAAATTAGGTATATAAATTTGTTTTGATAAGGGAACAGAGCTAACTAAAGTTTGAATTTACAAGACTAGTTGGTGAAAGTAGAGAGACTTGAGAAAATACATAGGGGGTTTCTTGTGCAAGGATGACACCATTTTGAAAAACAAAAGTTGTGTCCCCAAATCCTTGACCATGAGAGGTTTCTTGCATCTTCTTACAAAGTTTAGTTTGGCCAGTTGTCTAATACCCTATTGGGTATGGGTAGGAGTAGAAGAAAAACTATCTTTGATGACCCATGCAATAGTAGAAGGCAATAGAATATGTTTAGTGCAATTTATCAGAGTTGTTTATATTTTTTTTTCATTTTTGTTTTTGTTTTTGTTTTGGGAGTTTGTGACGTAATATTTAGTGGAATTTCTGTTATTAGTTTCTATTTTTTAGTTATCAACTTTCAACTCTTATACTAAATAGGATGCAATTTACCGAGGCTACCTATAGTGCAAAATCTACTTAAATTAGTTTAAAAAGTTGGTTATTAAGACGCTGAGGAGAATGATTTTAACTTCTTCATTCTGATTATTACTTTTAGCTTGTAAAACGCTATACAAACAGCTAGAAAAGGTATATTTAGTGTAACTTTTCTCAACTTGAAAGTTAATAATTAAAAAATAGAGACATAACATTTTTCTTAATTTTCAGATAATCAACTCTCTCATTTCTCTCAATTTTCAAATAATCAATTTTTTCTCAACTTATTTAAATGATTTCAATATCATAAATTATAATTAAAGAATGCTCTAAACACTATTAGAGATTCCAAAGATAAAAATAAATAAAATATAAGTAGCTTAATAAACTCAATCAAACATGGCCAATGTCATAGATTCCTCACTAGTATACACAAAGTAGACCATTTTCTTTCTTTCTCCTATTACATTGAGTTTGTTGGACAACACATTTAGAAGAGAGACTAAGCAAAGAGATGCTCTCACTATCTTCCAACTACTCTGTAACTTTGACCTAAATTAAGTACATAATAATATTAGTAGAGCACTAATCTAATGCTTTATACTCTTAATAGTTCTTAATTAAACTACCTCTGCATGTGCCATACACGCCAAAAACACACACACACACAATATGTCACTACCTTCTGTAGTTGACTCACCCACTATTAATTATATTTATATATTAACGATTTATATACTCATATGTATTAAGCATAATTGGTAATGCTATATATCTAAAAAGTTCAGCATTTGAAATTCTGGGTGCAAGGACTTCATACCAAATTTAAATTTGTACAACACATTCAAAATTTTAACATTTTTAGTATTTTGTATAAAGATTTTATTTATTACCAGATTTATTTCACATTTTCATTTCACGTCCAATGGATATTCATATCATAAAAGTTGTGTATGTGTAGAACTCAATATATATATATATATATAACATAATATTTGTCATGCAGCATAATAAATCATATAAGAGATGAAAGTTCAATGTAGTAGATATGGAAGCCCTCAATTTTTTTAAGTACCAGTGCAAGCAAAGTACAATAATTTTAGAAAAGATTGAATTTGAGTGGGATCAATTCAAAATAATTGTAATTTTATAAAAATATAAATCAAAGCAAGTGAAAGTATGCTTCATGTCACAACTTTCAATTGCACCTGATATAGGCTTGTTTTTACTTCTATGAAAGTGCAATGATTTTGAATTATTCCTATGGAAAATGTTTTGGAATCTCAATTTTGAACTCCCAAACCAACTCCGGTGTGTCATAAGCCACGTCACTTAGAAACCCTACTAAAACTATTCAATGAATGCTTGCCATGTCATAGGGAGTTGGTTTTGGAGTTCCAAAATTGATGGGATGTAACATTACCTATTCCTATTTTGTTGCACTTTTTTCATAATGTTATGTAACAAAATTGCGGTACAAATTTTTATTATTTTTTCTTTTTGAAAATTACTCTTCTCCATACTGCTATCTTCTATATTCTTTCATACTTCATTTTGTGAGCCTCACTCTAGGCTCAAAATAATAATTCAAATTGTTTATCTCATAAATCTCATAGTGAAGATTCTTGGTGTAAAAAAAATTAATTCCATCAGATATCGATGAATAGATAAACAAATTGTATTAATTTATTCATGTGTCTAATGATAACCGATGAAACAAATTTTTTATACAACTTATCTTCATTGTTAGGCCTACAAAATGAATGATTTAGATCATTATTGTAGTGCGAAATAAGGCTCACAAAACAAAATATAAAGAGATATAAAAATGAGTAATTCCATCTTTTGAATACGTGACGATTGCATTATTATAAGCTATGAAAATATAATAACTCATCAAATTAATGCATTAGTGACATATATATTATTAGTATCTAAATATAAATAATTGAATTTTGATCACTATAACATTGCATAGTGATATAAGTATAATCATAATCATATTCATATAAAAAAAAAACAATAATAATAATAATAATAACAATAATAATAATAATAATAATAATAATAATACAACACTTTTGATCCTCTCAAGTGGGTAATTGTAGTAGTAAGAGTTTGAGTTTGACATGCCACACTTTGATTACTTTGATGATTTCATAAATCCTAGGGACATGTTTTAAAAGGTGGACCTAAAACCATCTACTTAAGTGCCAAGTGGAGGCCACACCAATGGAGGACGGCATAGGTTAAAAAGCTTAATTATGTGTTTGATTGTCTAATAATTATTGTTTAAGTCATTGCCAAAATGGCATGTTTGGAAGAGAATAACAAAAACTTTGAAAACAATGGCAGAATGGAAATATAAAAATAAAAATTGCCGACCATAGTTTCTTGTGACTCTGGTTTTTTGGATTCATCTAAGGATGTTGGAATTCTTCACGTCACCCCATTTACTTATACGTTTAAATCGAAGAGTATGGAAATCAATCAAGGAATTGGATATAATATATATTTAAATTGACTCTTTTTTTTTTGTTAAAAAAAAAAATAATCTTACTAATAAATTTTATAAAATTTATTTATTCATATGTATTTTGGATTTATATTTATGGATTTGTAGTAAAACTATTCTCTTAAATATTTCACTATCATGACGACAGAGATGGGGTTGTGGATCTGGTTTCGCAGGGCATTGCATTGATAAAATTGCGTGGGAAGGGCCGTCATGGTAGACCACACACATTTATGCAGTTAACTCGAATGTGATTTGAATGAAATGATTGTTTAGTTAAAATATTTATTTTTATATTTAGTTAAGTTACAAAGATAATAATTATTGAAAATTAAATTATAATTCATCAGTTTAAAAAAATAATAATTTAATTAAAAGACCAAGGAATAATCATCTTATTTCCATCTAAAATTATTCCAGCGACAGTAATTACCATTTTTATGGACTTTCAACGGTTTGGGTCAATCACTTAAGCCCAGCAAAAAACTCTCAAAAGTAGGGCTGAGTAAAGAATCCGTGAAATTCGTAATCCGATCCAGTCTAGTCTAATCCGATAGGTTTGGATTGGTTTTTTGAATACGTGGTTCAGTTCCGGATTGAAGAATTAAAAATTCGTAGTTCACGGATTGGTTCCGGATTGAACCATACGGTTCCGGATTGGAACCGATCCGGACCGTATACAAATAGTCTATATTTTTACTATACATCGTCTCCCATAGTATCTTCTCTTATTCTATATAAAACCTAAACTCAAACCTAAACCCATATAATATCTTCTTTTATTACTTTTGTTTGTTAGTTTTTAATTTTAATTTAT